GCATTACTGCACCCCAGCCTAGGCGACAGTGAGACCCTGTCTCTAAAAAATAAAAAATGGCTAGAATCTGTTTCGTTTCCTATGTAGTCATTTCTTTTTCTTTCTGCCTTGGAACTTGGAGGACCCCTGTGGCATTTTCAGGCAGACAAGAATCCTCTCACTGTGCTTGGTTCTCTTTCTCAGAAACGTGGCTTAAAAGATACTGGAGTTAAAGTGAGGCAAAGGAATTAGAATCTTGGGCTTCTCCTACACCTGCTCCCACCTCTTTTCTCAAAGTCAATTAACCAGCTACCATTTTGCTATCTCAGAGAATTAGGAATTGGGCTTTTTTTTTTTGAGACTGGGTCTCCCTCTGTTGTGCAGTGGTGCCATCTTGGGTCACTGTAACCTCTGCCTCCTGGGCACAAGCTATCCTCCTGCCTCAGCCTCCCAAGTAGCTGGGACTATAGGTGAGAGCCACCACATCTGGCTAATTTTGCACTTTTTTTTAGAGATGGGGTTTTGCCACGTTGCCTAGGGTGGTCTTGAACTCCTGAGCTCAAGTGATCCCCTGCCTTGGTGTCTCAAAGTGCTGGGATTACAGGTGTGAGTCACTGTGTCCAGCAGGGCTTTCTTTAAGTCTGTAAATTCCTGTTGGTTTGTTGAAAGGTCAACTCCCCCAACACTGGAGACAGTTCGTTCCAAGCAGGAGTGGGAGACGAGACTGAATGGAGTTCGGATAATGAAAAAAAATGTTCGTGTAAGTGTATTTATGTGTGATCATTCAGTCAGTGTTAGTCTTTGCTTAACACTTCTTGCAATCCGGAGGTAGCCTTTTTTATCGCTATTTAGGGCCTATCCTACTATTCCTTTTGTTTTCCTAATAGTGGGTGGTGCTGTCTTTCTAGAGAGCCTCAGTCAGTTCAGCAGTAAAAATAATCCTTTTTTTTTTTTTTAGGACCAATTTAATAGTCATATCCAGTTAGTGAGGAATGGAGCCAAGCTGAGCAGCCTTCCTCAAATCCCTACTCCCACTTTGCCTCCACCCCCATCAGAGGTAAGAGAGCTGGCTTTGGGGGGAAGTTCGCCTTTCTGTGTTGGTAGTAGAAGCAGTCTTGTACTTGTTCTTTTTCTGAAGATATTATGACCATCCCTATTCAGCAAGAGTTGCTCATTGATTTCTTCTCCAGTTTCCTAAACTTTCTTTTTCTTCCTTTCTCTCTTGTCATCTACCTCTTCTTCTTTGCAGACAGACTTCATGCTTCAGGTGTTTCAACCCAGTCCCTCTCTGGCTCCTCGGATGCCCTTCTCCATTGGGCAGGTCACAATGCCTATGGTTATGCCCAGTGCAGATCCCCGCTCCTTGTCTTTCCCAATCCTGAACCCTGCCCTTTCCCAGCCCAGCCAGCCTTCCTCACCCCTTCCTGGCTCCCATGGCAGAAACAGCCCTGGCTTGGGTTCCCTTGTCAGCCCCCATGGTCCACACATGCCCCCGGCTGCCTCCATCCCGCCTCCCCCAGGCTTGGGTGGTGTTAAGGCTTCTGCTGAAACTCCCCGGCCACAACCAGTAGACAAACTGGAGAAGATCCTGGAGAAGCTGTTGACTCGGTTCCCACAGTGCAATAAGTAAGTATCTTCAAGGACTAATTCAAATGCCTTTATCAGAGAAATGCTTATGAGTTAAAATAGGGGATGTTACATGGGTGTTCCCCATGGGTATAATGTAGGCTTTCTCTCCCTCAACATTTTTCTTTCTCAGGGCCCAGATGACCAACATTCTTCAGCAGATCAAGACAGCACGTACCACCATGGCAGGCCTGACCATGGAGGAACTTATCCAGTTGGTTGCTGCACGTCTGGCAGAACATGAGCGGGCTGGCAGCAAGCACTCAGGTGAGGAAAGCTACTCAGGAGAGAACTTAGGCCTACTGAGGGGTGGGAAGGAGGCAGATTTCAGAAAAACATGGGGCAGGAAGAAGCATTCCAGCCAGTGGTAGTTAGTCTGCTTTTTTCCTTTGCTGGACTAGGAAATAAGTGATTTTTGTGATATGCTCTGTTACAGCCACTTGGTCGCATCCGGGCCTTGTTCCCTGCTCCACTGGCCCAAATCAGTACCCCAATGTTCTTGCCTTCTGCCCAAGTTTCATATCCTGGAAGGTCTTCACATGTAAGATTCTTTTTCTTTGAACAGTGTGGTATGGAGAAGCTGGAGGTGAGGAAGTAGTGGGTTTACAGGTGGAGTGCAGGAAGAAACCATCAGTTGGGTTATTTGCAGCCCTACTGGGAAAATGCAAGTATTTTAGGCAAGAATCTGTATTTGGATTTTTATTTCTTTTGATAGAAATCATTTTGCTGCATGGAATTATGGTCATAAACGGCAAGGAGACCCAAGTTTCCTTACATTTTGACTATGTCTCCTCTGTTCTACAGGCTCCAGCCACCTGTAAGCTGTGTCTAATGTGCCAGAAACTCGTCCAGCCCAGTGAGCTGCATCCAATGGCGTGTACCCATGTATTGCACAAGGAGGTAGGTGTTACAGACCTTCCTCATTTTCTACTCTTTTTATTCTGACACGTAAAATAATTTTTCTTTCGCATTTTCTACTCTTTTTTTTTCCTGATAGCTAAAATAACTTTTACTGTGTTGGTGCTCATCATTAATATCTCTTTTTTTTTTTTTTTTTTTTTTTTTTCTTTTTGAGATGGAGTCTCACTCTGTCACCAGGCTAGAATACAGTGGAGCAATCTTGGCTCACTGCAACCGCCACCTCCTGGGTTCAAGCAATTCTCCTGTCTCAGCCTCCCAAGTAGCTGGGACTACAGGTGACCACCACCACACTGGCTAATTTTTATATTTTTAGTAGAGACAGGGCTATCACCATATTGGCCAGGGTGGTCTGAAACTCCTGACCTTGTGATCTACCCGCCTTGACCTCTCAAAGTGCTGGAATTACAGGCATGAGCCACCAAGCCCAGCATTTCTTTTTCTTTTTTGAGACAGGGTTTCATTCTGTTGCTCAGACTGGAATGCAGCGGCACGAGTATAGCTCGCTGCAGCCTCAATCTCCTAGGCTCAAGATGTTTCCGTCTCAAGTAGCTGAGACTACAGGCGCATGCCATCATGCCCAGCTAATTTTTTTGTTTCTCTTTTTTAGCAGAGATGAGGTCTTGCTCTGTTGCCCAGGCTGGTCTCAAACTCCTAGGCTCAAGTGGTCCTCCTGCCTCAGCCTCCCAGAGTGCTGGGATTACGTGCGTGAGCCAACGCACCTGGTCTTTAATATCTAATCATAAAGTTTTCAGTAAACGGTGGCTTAAATATTAGCAGAATTTAGAATACTGTAGTTAGGATCTCTCAGCTTATTTTTACCCCATTCCCTTCGGGGGACTGGATAAGCAATTCATACTGAGCACTAAGTCCCTTGCTTGGAAAATTGACAGTGAGTGATAATCCCACATATCTAACTGTTGTTCCAAATGTAGCATCAAAAGACTTTGCCTAGATAAGAGGAATGGAATGGAGGACCTGAGTATGAGATTAGTAACTCCATTAACAAAATAGCTTGGAAGGCTTGCCTGTTAGAGATTATCTTCACAGACCAACAAGTCATTCCTGTTCTTTTATGTTGCCAGGGAAGAGTTAAGTCTCTTAGTAGCAGGGATGATTCCTTCTTAACCATTTTGTTTCATTCATTTTGCTTTTCCACGAGGTAGAAACTGAATTTACATCTACATCCTTGGTAAGAAAAATTTCTGAATAAGATTTGAGGGTGGCGAGTATTAGAACAAGAATGCTCATCTCAGGTAAAATGGATCCTAAGGGGGAGCAAGCCACACTAGACACTCAACAGAAAGCAGCACCATGAACACTTTCATCAGCTCATTGTTAATGTTCCTCGTAAAAAGGACAGGTTCACTTGCTCTGAGGATTCTTTTAGGGTAAGAGCCATTGAAATAGCCCTTCTTGGGGCCAAGCGCAGTGGTTCACACCTGTAATCCCAGCACTTTGGGAGGCCGAAGCAGGCAGATCACTTGAGGCCAGGAGTTTGAGACCAGCCTGGCCAACAAGGTGAAACCCCATTTTTACTAAAAATGTAAAAATTAGCTGGGCATAGTGGCGAATACCTGTAATCCCAGCTACTTCGGAGGCTGAGGCAGGAGAATTGCTTGAACCCAGGAAGCAGAGGTTCCAGTGAGCTGAGATTGCACCACTGCACCCCAGCCTGGGCAATAGAGTGAGACTATCCCCTCCCCCCCCAAAAAAAAGAGCCCTCTTGTACCTCACAGTAAGAACTTTTCTAACTTAGGCCTCACAGTAAGATCTTTTCTAACTTAGGCCTAACTTATTGGCACTCTATCCTTCTTCCCTTTGTCTTTCCAGATAAACCTGAGGTATGTCTTTCTTTCTTTCCAGTGTATCAAATTCTGGGCCCAGACCAACACAAATGACACTTGTCCCTTTTGTCCAACTCTTAAATGACGGACCTGACTGGGGAGGAAGAAGAGGAGAAACTGATGTGAACAGGAAGTGCGGGTTCAAGATTTCTAAAACTCTATATTTATATAGTGACATATACTCATGCCATGTACATTTTTATTATATAGGTAATGTGTGTATAGAAAGTCTGTATTCCAATGTTCGTAAATGAAAGTATGTATATTATGCAGAAACAGTCTGTTCCCCCGCATCTTGCAATTCCTTTGGGGGATGCAGATTGTAGGGAAGATGATGCTTAGTTTGGCCTTGAAATTATGATATCCCTGCCCAGAGCTGTTTTCAAATACAATATACAAACCACCTAGGAAGCTGCTGTTGCTCTAAGGCCATCCTGCTTTGGTTTGGCTCAGCCTCTAGTCCATTTTCTTAAGGCTCATGTATGCAGATTTGAAGCCTGGTGCTCACCCACTGTCCAACCAGATGCCTTGCTTACCGAAAGCCTACAGAAGCCTCAGTATTGTTTTAGCCACTCTACTCCAAATGGATAAAATGAGACTCCGATTGGGGGAAAAAAGTAACCCTGGTAGTTTGACTTCTTACCGAATATTTTACTGTGTTAACACTCATTATTTATACAGACATTGGTTTACAGAATATTCTGTTTTACATCACCAAAATTCACAGTCCGAGAATAACAACATAACTAGGTTCCAGTCCCTTCATGCACCCCAGAAGCTTCTGTCCACCGTATTTTCTGGATAGAAATTAGCATGACCCACAGGTTTTTCCTGGGCCAAGCTTTCTTTTGCTGCCCCTGGCTTGGCTTCTAATCAAGCTCTGACAGGCCAACATTGTGGAGTCCTAACCCTTTCCCATTCACTTCTGGTCTCCTTGTCTAGCTAACTCCCTCCCCCCGAAGGTTAAGGCAGTTGGTTCACAACCAAGTTGTTTGGTGACCTTGGGTGAGCTCCAGACAGGCACTGGGGTGAGGAGATGTCTGTGCAGAATTACTTATGGAATGATCTTGGGATGCTGGATTTTAATTTTTGAAGCAAGAAAGTTATGGGGGACATATTTCCTCTCCTGGGAAAAATGGAGACCAAAGTGATATTAAGAAAGTAGTTTGGATTTCAAGTATATAAATCACTTGCTCTGTGGGAAGCTATCAGGAACTAGATCATTTTCCACCTCTGCTTATTGTACTTCTTAATTTTAGGTTTTATACCTGGGAAATCTGTGACTCTATTAGAGCTTTGAATCTTTTCCTGTCCTTTTAGCTTTACTCCTACAGGGAATGGCTTCAGCTCCCTTCTCTTTTAGAATTAAACAAGTAAAAACTAAGAGTTTTTTTATTTTATTTTATTTTTTTTTAATAACTGGCTCCAGGGAAAGGACATTATTATATTACCAACAGCCGAATTTTTTTTTTTCCATTCTGGGACCTACTAGCAATACATGTCGGGGTAGCAAAGACTTTTCCTTTCAGACCCAACTAAATGACCTCTCTGCTTTTGATACTCTTTTCCTTCTTGGTCTTTCATCCTTATCTGTCCACTCACAGATGGATTCTTTCTCAGTTCTCTTGCTTCACTTGCCCAGGTTTATTGACTAGCATCAGTTTAAGGAGCTGGACTTCCTGGGACCTCGTTGGCATCTTGTAGGGTGATTGGAGTGGCCCGAGTACTCAGCTCTTCAGAGGTCAGGTGACCCACTTTCTTTGGTTAATGAAATGTTACTGTCTCCAGGTTAGTAGCTGTCATGAACAGGAAAGATGGCAAAATGGAAGACCAGTTCCATTGTTCTTTTCGTTTAGGGGATTCATTTTTTATCCTGTAATCTTTTTTTTTTTTTTTTTTTTAAAGATGGGGGTTTCTCCATGTTGGTCAGGCTGGTCTTGAACTCCTGACCTCAGGTGATCCACCCACTTCAGCTTCCCAAAGTGCTGGGATTACAGGCGTGAGCCACCACACCCAGCCTTTTATCTTGTAATCTTAAGATTTCCTCTCCCCTCAACTTTACAGCAGCCTTGGGCCACCTGCCGTATTTTTCAGTATCCCCTGAAAATTTAGAAATTAGAAATGTGTAAAGCATATTGTTTATTTTCCAAAAACCTTTGAAGCCAAAGGAGTAAAAAGAGACAAAAGGAAGGGGTGAGGAGGGGGCTTAACTGCTTCCCAGTAAAAACCCTGGAAAGCCCACTCTAGCAGGAGGATAAGTGTTTTGGAGAGTTGTGCATGGGAGCGAGGGCCTCAGTGTTACTCTTTTTCTTGTTCAAGATCAGTCAGAAAACAACACAAGTGTTGGCCACCCCTGCTCTCTCTTCTCCCTCTGTCTACTGGCCTGCAGTAATAAAAGCCATGCAGACCAATGGGAAAGGCCACAAATGCAGTGAGTGGAGAATGGGACAGTCATTTTTCAGGAGTAGAGTTTAAAAATAGAGGTGTATAATACATATTTTAATAAGCAAGAAGCTGTTGGTAAGACTTTTTTTTTTTTACATTTAGAGTTTCTAGTTTTGGGGTAGGAAGGAAGTAACTGTAAAAAGAAAACAAAGTGCAAGTTTTCTTTAAAAAAATAATAGGCTGATGGGACTTGCAATTGAAGGGGTTGAGTTTTATGCCCTGCAAAGGGCTGGGAAAAAGCCGGTTTTTCCCAGCATAGGTAGAAATTACTAAGCAGAATGTGGCATTTCACTTCATGGTAACAGTTCTGGAAGTTTATTTACACAGTAAGTTCCAAGCTAGAAGCAGACAGTCTCCAGTCTTCCTGTCAGGTTCTGTAGTTACGGGGTGTTCCCAGTCAGCCAAAGCAGCACCAAGTGCAGTGGGAATGAAGAGAACCCAGATAAAAAACTGACTCAGTATTCTTGTTTTATTGGTTTATGGCTTGCGGGCAGCTGGCTGAGGCCAGGAACTCCAGAGGCCCTCGTTGTATTTCCCTCTCCCTTATCAGGTAATTCCACACTTGGCAGGTCCCATACCTGGAAGCAGTGTGTTGACCAGATAGGAGTAGGATGCAGTGGGTATACCAGGAAAACCCAGCTCTTCCCACTAACACTTGATACTGTAGTTTACTATGCTAGAACTGATAAGGAGGTAATGAACTTGGTCCCCACTACCTAGCCCAAGAACCAGCCTGGGTACCCACGTACCGTTAGAAGTGGGGAGGGGAGAGCAGGATAGGGGAAAAAGAAGGCCTTCATCAAGGAGCTCTTGTGGCGAAGGACATAAGGAAGCCCTGAGGCTGCCATCCTTTCTCCAGGCAGCCTTGATACTGAAGGCAATGATGTTAGAGCCAGAAAGCACTGTACTTCTCATACTCCTGGTATGATACTAGTGCCACCGTGTGATGCTTTAGTCAAATAAATGGAAGGGCCGTTAGAGAGGGTAGGAAGGCAGTGAAACCACTCTGTATTATGTAAAGATCTTGCCACTTCTTACAGCATAATAGGAAAAAATCCAGGCAGGAATTATAGGGCAACAGCTGTTGAATAAATCTTCAACATTATGCTTTTAAGGATTAGGTAGAAGAGGTCTCCTACCTATTCCTTTTAGCACCTCATCTGCAAAGCTCTAGAGGAAGATTTGGGGGAAAGAGTGAACCTGTGACCAGGAAGACAGAGCCCAGCCCTGCTATATTCCAGTTGCTCTCCCCTAGGGCACCTGGAGCTTAGGGGGTTAGGATTTTTCAGTGCTACCTATCATATGTAGAATAAAGGGTTCAGGTCGAGACAAGTGAATTGAATATGGTAGAAATTCATGTGTTAAGTGCAACTTCTTAGTGGGCACTTCATTTAAGAGAGCTAAAAAAGAGCTCTTTCGCTAGAGAAGCCCTTCCCATCTCACTTTTGGTCAGGCTGCAACCACAGAAAATAAAACATTGAAAACAACACCCATCTTATGAGATGGGATGCTATCTATCTTGGAGATGAGGTCTAAAACTGGGACTGGTGAGTGGTTATGTTTCTGCCTTCCCTAGTTTTGATCCCACTATTCCCTGTCTTTGTGCTCCCTCTCCTTCTCCTTTTTCCAACCACCCCCATTTGTATAAATACTCAATCTAGTTTTTCTTTAATTCAAGAGGCAGTCTTTGCACCAATGTTAGGCTTGTTTATATAGTCCCTGTCTCTAAAGCAAACAGCAAACTGTGCATCCTGTCCTACTGACTTTGGCCAGCAGGGAAACAAGATTGGTCTCTTCTCTGCCAGGGTACCACAGGGACACCTGCCAGGGTAGCCTGGGTGTGATGCCAGTACTCCTGAAACTAAGAAAAGAAGAATATTTTGGGTTGGAGAATTTAAAGGAATGGTGGACAAAGGTTCAGGGCTGAAGTTTCAAGCAGCAGAATTTCCCAACTTAAATTTGAGGTGACCAAGAGTATTCCCGCCACCAGAGAGTGCTTCTTCCTTCTCTTTTCTGTTTCCTACAGGTACAGTCCCTGGAACCCACCTTGCCAGCCTTTCCTTCTTCTCCATCAAGGCAGAGGCATTTGGTGGGTGGGGAGGGTCCTGAGGTGCTCTGGCCACAGGTGCCATCTGTGTCTCCTACTTGTGACCAAAGTGAACCACAGGAGGTGTGGTCCAGGGGAATCTCTTATCTTCTGCCCATAGGCCTCTTCACTTCAGCAGGGAGATGTCATCAGCAAAGTCATCATGCTGCTGGCGCAGGCAGCGGAGGCAGCGCCACTGACACACCATGAGGCAGAGTGGCAGCATGAAGAGGGCGCAGATGGCAGCCATGACATAGGCTATGGTCATGAGGGTTGACTCATCTGTCTGTGGAATGTTGTAGCCACAGTCTTCCATGTCTGGGGTGACAAAAGGGCCTTCCACCGCTGCCGTCCTGAACTCATCGTGCACTGGGGAGAGGGCAAATGTGAATGGACAGCTCTCATGGTCATAGACTAGTTTGGGTTATATAACAAAAAGAACTTCCTGATAGACCCTGAAATTAGCCCCTGCAGAATCTATTCAATATCCTTCCTAGGAGATATTTAGGAGCAGGCCGGGAAGCCAGCACCAGGTAGAAGCCTGTCTTCCCTCCCAAGTCACTGAGACCAGCAGCCCTTACTTGTATACCCAGCTGGTAGGAGTGATAACTAAAAGTCAGTAGTTCTGAGTTGATCAAAAGCCAGTCCCTTGACCAAAAGCCACACCTAGTAAACTTACTTTCTGCTGCTGAAATCCAACTGCAAAATCCTGCCACCTTTCTGAAGCAGCATTCAACCTTGCCGTGTGGCAGCTGACAGGGTCACTGTAGGCTCAGCCTGCTACCCTTGCATCAAGAGCTTCCCAAGGTACCAGGCAGCTCTTGATGCTCGGTTTCCAGCAGAGGTTACCAATCCAGGCATTGGTCATTACGGCAGGCAGTATAAAAAAGGACAAGCATTGACACTAGCTTTTGCAGAATTGTTGACTTGGGTTTAAGGCAACTGTTAACTACCCTCCCCTAAACTGACAGGGACTCATGTATACTAACTGTTGGCTGACAAGGAAAATACAGAGACTGATCCCAAACCCTCAACCCTGGCACTCTCACCATGGCAAGCGCTGACAGCAAAGCCAATTCGTTTTCGGGCCCGATCAAAGACAACATAGAAGCCCTCCATGATAACAGCTCCCATAACAGTGCCAGTGGATGACTGTGAGATGGCAAACTTGTAACAGTCGTCTTGGGATGTAGCCACATCTTCCACTGGCCGTAGGTATTGCTAGGGGTAAGCAATCACAGGTTGAGTGTCTTCCTCACTCTCCTTCACCCCATCTCTGCCTTCTAGGCATCTGTGCCCTTCCCTTTGCCATCCCTGAGCTCTGACGCATTGGGTTTTCTAAGACCCCTTTACCAGTGGACACTATTCATCTGCCTTCCAAGTTCTGGCAAGCCATACCTGCTCACTGTCTCCCAGTATGTACTTCGCCCCTTCCTGAGATCCCACTGACTCAGGCTGGGACTTACCTGTGGAAGGATGGTGATGCGGAAGGACTGATTGGTAACCTCACCCATTAGGTAGAGTGAGATGACTGGGAAAATGTTCCAAGGGGTGGTGCCTGCTTGCCAACACACCAGCTGCTCTCCTAGCCAGAAACCATCGGGGAATTTCTCCGTCTGTGTTGGCAAGAAGGGGATAACAATGAAGAAAAGCCTCTATCATCTTGCCCCTCCCATGTTCAGATACATTAACTGGGCCCTTCATTTGCTTTTCCAGTGAAATATTCAAAGTGGAGAGGGGTCAACCAAAGGATTAGAGGAAGAGAGTGGGAGTGTGATGTCAGACTTTTGTACCAGGGTCATGTGATAAGCAAAGTGACACCCATAAAAGGGTTTTGTTTTTTTTTTTAAAACAGTCTCATTCTGTTGCCCAGGCTGGAGTACAGTGTCCTAAACTCAGCTCACTGCACCCTCCACCTCCAGTGTTCAAGTGATTCTCCTGTCTCCGCAACCACCAACCCAGTAGCCAGGATTACAGGTGTGCACCACCACGCTTGGTCAATTTTTGTACTTTTAGTGGGGACAGGGTTCCACCATGTTAGGCTGGTCTTGGAACTCCTGACCTCGTGATCCATCCGCCTCAATCTCCCAAAGTGCTGGGATTACAGGTGTGAAGCACTGCACCCCACCAAGGGAAGAGTAAGAGCTCTGACTAGAAGGGTCTAAGTGCAGACATCTTGGCTCTTGCTGAAGAACGTGACTCTCGCTGTCTTCCCTCAGACACTGTACCATTTCTTTTACCCCCATCCTTAGTCCACTCACTGAGGAGGCTGCCTTGATGGATTTGACTGCAGCTTCAAACACTTTCTTGGGCAAACGAAGGTTGGTGGTGCCACTGTCCACTATGCTCTTGTCATAGTTGTACTAAGAGGGAGAAGAGAGAGAGTCAAAAGGTTTTTGATGATGGGCTCTGGGCAGTAGGGGGTTACTGCTGGGACCCTGGCTGGGCTGGCATCTTGGCTTTGGCACCTCCTAAGTCTACCTCCTTAGACAAGTTAACCTCTGTGCCTCAGTTTCTTCATCTCTAAAGTGAGGATAAAAATAGTGCCTACCTCAGATGGTTATTGTAAGGGTTAAATAAATCAACAATTGAAAGCACTTAGAACTGTGCCCAACAGATGGAAGGCACACGGTTTTTTTTTTGTTTTGTTTTGTTTGTTTGTTTGTTTGTTTTTGAGACATAGCTCTGTCACCCAGGCTGGAGTGCAGTGGTGCAGTCTTAGCTCACTGCAGCCTCTGCCTCCTGGGTTCAAACCATTGTCCTGCCTCAGTCTCCCAAGTAGCTGGGACTACAGATGCCTGCCACCACATATGGTTAATTTTTTTGTATTTTCAGTAGAGATGGGGTTTCACCATGTTGGCCAGGCTAGTCTCAAACTCCTGACCTCAAATGATCTGCCCGACTCAGCCTCCTAAAGTGCTGGGATTATTACAGGCATGAGCCACCTCACCTGGCCGCCTTTAACTTTTCTTAGTACATTTGTATCTCCTCTAATTTAACATACATAAGCATCTAGGGAAGGAAGACATAAATGGTTTAGTTACCTTTTATTGAGTACTGCCAAGCACAGAGATAAACACTATACATTATCTCTGATATTCTGGGAAAGTTATTTTTACCTGTTTTGCAGATAAGGAAACTGAAACACAGTAACTGGCCTAAGGGTACATAGGTAGTAGACGTCAGAGCCAGATTCAGATCTAGTTCTCCCTGACTCCAAAGACAGGCTCTTCATTCTATCACCGTGACTTGCAAAAGACTTGCCCAAGGCTACGAAGCAAAGCAGTGACTAAAGTCCAGACGTCAGAACTAGTTCCATGGTTTTTTTTTCCACTACCAGTCCATAGGCCCCAAAACTTAGGTCCTGCTTTGTGACCATTAAGCCCCTGACTATTCTGGGCTCAACTTCGAACGCTTTTGGCAGGTCCTGTTACCTCTGCCTCATCCTCCCAACATCGTAACTAGAGTCTTCCTTCACACTGTATTACCTACCCGCTCACGTTGCCTGGGTCCCCCTTGGTTGTATTACCTCCTTGCAGTCCATTTTCAGATCCTGTCCATTGATCTCCACCCGCACAATGATCACCTCATAATACCACTCCCGCCGGATGGGTGTATACCAGAGACTGCCTGTGTACAGTGAGTGGTCGATACCTCCAATGATCTAGGGAAAAAAAGAGGCAGGTGCCCGTGTCCTGGCACAGAAGGAGAGTGAGTCCCTCAAGGACCAAGCAGTAAGATCAGTGATTTCTTGGGGTGGCAAGGTCTTCTACAGGTTACCCTTTTCATCTTCCTGCTTCTAATCAAATCATGCCCAAAGTGATTTCTAGTTTGTTAAATGTGTTCA